AAAATGAAGTAAATTAATCATATAATAGAACATAAATCAAGATAAATTAATAATAGTCACAAATAAATGCATGTAAATCAAGCCAAATAAACGATATGATTTTGCGTTATCAGTGGTCCTATCATAAGGGTACACGTGAAGATTGTAATCCAAACACACTGCATTGAAAAATAGACAATGAATCATTGTCATATGGGAGTGTATTGAGATTGTAATTTAGACAAATCCTGTGTTGAAATAGATAATAAATTATTGTCCCAGTGGTGTGTATGGAAATTGTAATTCGAACATACCATGTGTTGAAAAATAATGAATGGGTATATATAGAGATTGTAACCCTGACATGCCATGTGTTAAAAAAATAGACAATGGATCACTGACTCGAGATGTGCACGAAGATTTTAATCCAGACACACCATATGTTGAAAAATAGACAATGAATCAATGTCACATGGTGTGAGTATAGAGATTTAATTCATACACCTTTGTTTTCTAACTTACATGAAAAAATTGGATTCAATTATTGTCCTAGGGGAATGTCTAGAAGTTGTAGTTCAGACTCACCCTGTTTTGCAACCTTACACAAAAATTGTCTCAACATTTTAAAACTTGTTACTTTTTTCATAAAACCTAATACATGTTTTAGCAAACAACAACTTAAAACTATAATTTCAATTTCCAATGTTTATACAAATAATTTTAGATCATGAAAATACTAAACTAATGAAGATACAAATTAAAACACATCAAAACTATAACGTTGCATCCATGAAAATACCAAAGTTTAGTAACATCCATGAAACTTCTGGAGTTTATACACATAATGTAATGTAACATACAAACTAAAACGCATTGAAAAATGTGTCACTACCTAAATCGATGGGTGCTTATGCCTTATACTTTTTATGATTTGAGTTTTATTCAATATCCTTCAACTTGGTAAGCTCTTCCATCCTATCCAAAAAAAAATGTTTAACCAAGTTTATGCTTCTTTTTTAGTGTGAGATATCCCTCAAGGGATTTTTATGGTAGAGGGTATGCTGGTTTCAAATAAATTTGTATAAAGTGAAGAGATTTTGAAAGCTATTCGATACAAATAATCTGTCTGACAGAATTCTGAGGTGACCCAATTTGTAGCGGAAAAAGTTTCAGAGAAACCATACTTTGTTAGATCAATATGCATTTTGTCATATGCATGTTCTATAAGATGACCCATTTCAGAGAAACTCAACATTTTTTCTCCAGTGTTGGACCATTAACACAAGGAATAAAAGAGTCTTAAATTTCATTGTATTGTTCTTTTTTCTTATATAGCCTCATGGAATTTTTCTTATGGACCTTTAACTCTTTGATAAGACGTTGGTGAATAATATGGTTCTCCTATCTCTTATCTAGAAACGTTGAAACAATGTGAAATTCGTAGTTACCATCACCTTTAACATCTACAATTCAGTCAATGTATTTGTGCATAAAAACATGCATCACCTTAATGAGTTTTATTTTTGGTAAAGGTGGGGATTTTCTTATGCAAGCACACTTCATAGTACTATTTTGAATTGTGAAGGTGGAGTGTCTAAATAAAATGACTCAACATATTATAAGTATATAGTGCAACCTAAGAGGGGGTGAATTAGGTCTTCAGACTTTTTCTATTTATTTTACAGATATTATGGTTCTTTTACTTTTTTGAAAAGTTATGATGAACAAATGAACGAAAAATGCAGGAAAAATAAAGTGCAGTAAAGAAAATGTGATGAGATATATACTAGTTCTCCTTTCCAAACAATGGTAGTCCAGTCCCACCATACCCCGTGAAGGATTTTACTATGTTAGAAATTGTTACAACCTCACACTAAGACTCTCTTCAATTCTATAACACAACCAGGAAAGCACAACACTTTCTGATTTTACAACACATCGAGAAATAACCATACTTTCTCCTACCTTTTCTTGTTTCCATAAACTTGACAGACAAGTTACAATACACTGATACAAATAATTAAGTACATATGGATTTTAGGGTACAAATGAATGTTGATTATTCCCAAAATTCCAACTTAGTCTTCTATTTTAATATAACAAATCAAAATTATAAAATCTATGTGCTCAAGAAACTTTTCTCTGATGAATGAAAATTGTGCATTAAAGTTTCTATGAGTTTTTGCAAATGTACAAATTAGTTGTTTGAAAATATTTGATGAAATAAATGATTTGAAATATGAAAAATTATGCTATATACATTACAAGATGCCTATAGAAATAGTGTCAATATTTCGAAGAAGGTATTATGATTATATGCAATAAAGAGATATGCAATATTTCAAAAAAATTCAAGATGTTTCTGATGTCAATCGATTGTGTATATGAATCAATCAATTGAATCATTTGTAACGTTAAAAAAATTTAGACCCCCCGAAAATTTAAAAAAATTTAGCCTAAATGGAAGGCCCCAATTTAACAAAAAAGACATATTAACCGCAAATATTAGTTTATTATTTAGTCTGATCTAGTGGTATGAAACTTCTGTTTTAGACAAAAGGACTATGGTTAAAATTCATTTGGATAATAATATTTCCCTTTTGATTTTATTTATATAATTTAAAAAAATGCGTATAACTAATTATATAAATTTTGGTTTAGACCTTCAAATTTGTTGGTTCAACCACGCTATCTTGTGCAACTTTTATTTGATGTGCAACGTCTCTTTGATGTGTAATTTTATGTTATAATCAACTTTAAAAAAAATTCTTGAATCACCTCCCATTCTATCATGATAAAGATATCTTATTTATGATCCTTAATCACTCTATCATTATCTAACTGAACTCTTTTCTAGTATGCATTTACCTCATCCATGCGTATAGGTCTATCAAGTTTCACCTTTTTGGATATTAAACAAGCCCACGAAAAATCATATGTTATTTTTAGTGTACAGTCACACTTGGAACTATTTAGGCCTTTTTTTTTCTATACTCGCACAACTTCGTGATAGATAAAGTTCAATCCCGCTTAAGATATATTGTCCACCAACTATGAATACATAATTTTGTCATTGAATTTATGTTATAATATTGAAATATATTGCATGGGATGTAGAAAATACCTTTGGAATAGAAATCATTAATGAGATATCGCAATTAGAGACAATCATTTATGGCATATTTTCTAAGTGTTTTAACATATTGTGACACATTTCCTAAGTCAATGTAACATTATCCTCTTTTTTTCATATTCCAAAAACACAAATTCAACTGAATAAGTCATCTGTATAGAAGTAACACGGTAATTTTTAAAAGAGGAAGCATGTACATGTTGGTCTTATATATTAAATTAATTATCAGTACCATAGGGAATGTGTTAAACAACATGATGGAATCACAATGAGTCTAAAATATATTTAGAATAATTTTTTTCATCCACTCACACTATGTACCTAGATATATAAAGATGCCCATTCAACAATTTTTAACAATTTGCATTTCAGATCTTATATCCCTTATCACCTTGTTGTTTTGGTGGAAAACATTGTATAATTTCTTAATATTTGAGATATTTTTGGGTATTTTCCTTTCTAAAGTTGAGTATGTTTTTGGGCTGAACCATGTTTAATGTCATCTCAAAAATTAGTTTCCTCACTTCATAATTCATATGACTGACAATCTGATGACCATTTAACTGACTATTCAATCCATGATTATATAGACCACAACTCATACTAAATTTCTAAGTATTATTCTAAATGTGGTACCCACACAACTTTAAAAAATTCACATTTTCTTGTTTCGGTGTCATCATATTTTAACGTTCTGATAAGTTCTTTATACTGGTCAAAAAGATTTCATCTCATCATAACAAATGTTTATCTTCTATCGTAACTAAAATTCGATCTCCTAATTATTATCCCAAAAAATAATTTGACAACTTCTTTGCAAACTCATTGAATCATGTGTTTACATAATGTAAACTCATATTTAATGGTAAATTTTTTTGCAACATCAACATGTACAAGAGTTAGTTAGGGATCTTTCGAAACATCATACCATGATATATTAGCTTTGTTTAGAGCATCATAATACATCATGCCTACAATAAAAAAATAAGACAATTGAATCACTCATTCAAACGCTCTAGATTTCACTCTCTGAGTATGTTCGCCTAGTTCGGCGATAATCATGATGAAGAAAAAAAATAGATTTATTGAATGATTATCAACGACAGACATGTGCATTGCCTATAGTTTTAGATTATCATGATTTATTGATATCGAAATACAATATATTTGTGTTTGCAAGTGAAATTATTGAATAGAAATGCAAGAATATTGGAAGGGTTTAAGAAAAAATGCTATATGATCACAAGTAAGCAAATTTAAGAATTCATATGTAGCAACCGTGATTGTTTGAATTCCAATATCCAAACGTCCCAAAAATTATATCCAAATATTAATATTCAAACATTTATATTTTTGCATTTGGTGTTTCGGATGGAATTAATTTATTATATTGTGTGGTACCTCTGAAATTCAAATTCGAGATAGTATAAAATAAGGTTAAAAAAAAATTAAATGTGCAATATATTTTTTATTGTGTTGCAACTACATGTCTTTTAATTTAAAAAGAAAATAGAGTTAAGTTGGACATGTGTCCTAAACAAATGGATCGAACATTTGAGGCCCTAAATATTGCAATTTGGATCTAGCCAACCTATTCCTTCTTTAGACAACATCAACAACAACCATAAGACTCAACTTTTATTTTGAGCAAATTTCCCACTATAATAACTCTATATCTAACCAATAATAATATAGTAAAAACAAAATAGCCAATAATAACCCTACATTTCTATACCTTAACCAATGGCTTTCCACAAACACCGGAATAACTTTGAATTATTTTGCATATAAATTACGAACTCTTATGAACAACTCTTCACCCACAAATAAAACCCACCTCTCTTGAACAACATCACCAACAATAACCTAAACAAACACATACACAAAAATGGCACGTTCACAGCATGTTATTCTTCTTGCTCTAATAATGTTGGCCATGATTGGCCTCTCCCGTGCTGCAGATCCACCAATGCCCTCCGAAGATGACTACGAAGAAGACGATGACGAATTTCTCATTGGAACCAGAAGCGGCGACCCTCCTTCAGCAAGCCGCGGTGTCGTCGCCGCACCCATCGGTGGTCCAGTTCCACCGGGTGCCTTCGATTCTACAAAAAGTGCTGCACCATCCACACAGTTCTCCGCCATAGTCGGAACGGCTGTCAGCGCCGCTGTCGCTGGACTATTCTACTTCTGATGATCATATATGTCATCATCATGCATATATATGATCATTGAGTAATAGTTTTGGGTTCCTTAACTTTGTTCTGATCACTCATGCATGGTATTTGCTTAGTGTGGATCTTGTCATTTATAAATGTGTCATGTGTTTGTCCTGATGATTGTTCAATTTTATAAGAGCATGGAGCTTCCGTAAATGGTTGAGTGAGTCATGTATTATAATTTTGGTATTATTTTATAAACCTTTTCAATCTATGACTGAGTCACTTTTTTTTCTTTTATACCAAAAATATTTAGATAAACACATACATAATAATAAGTAGCTTGTAAATCATGAATCACAATTTTTTATTAATTAAAAAATAAAAATAAATTTTTTTCTCTCTTTTATTATTAATACCATCTCATAATTTCAATTAAAAACTAAATTAAATTTTAAATAAATTTAAAATATTGAATTTAAGAATATGGATTTAAATATATTTTAATGTAAGTATTTCTTCTTTAATATTACGTACCCGAATTATACTATAGAAATTGTTGAGATGGTTGAATTGTGGAGAAATAATTTTTTTTCAATGTATTAATTAGCTTAATTTGACAAGAGAAATAAAGCATTTTAAAAATTAATAAAAAATGAAAAAAAAAATGTAAATCATGGAACCAAACGGAATGTAAATCATGCAACAATTTTTTTCTTTACCTTTAAAAAAAATATCAATTTAGCCCCCTCTATATGATGATTGGAATAGGTTATGATTTTATTTTTTTTAATATTTAATTTTATAAAGTTTTATTTATATGAATATTTTGATATTAATATTAGAAATAGTAAGCGGTTAAATTTAAGAGAAAATTTAAATATATTTTTTGGGCCGGTCCAAGGGTAGGCCACCAAAAACCTCATATTTTTACTTTATATTTATTTGAATTTAATTAACTGATTTTTTTATAAAAAATATACTAAATTGTTTATATATTAATTAAACAATAACATCTATTTAAAAAATTTAAAAATACCAATTATTTATTGTACGTATTATTTGATTTGTTAATTTAAAAATCACACGGATAGATAATAAATTTTGAGTTTTTCAACATGATAGAATTGATATCTAAGTTTTTTTTTATTTTATAATTTTGATATTGTTTTTTAATAATGATTTTTTTAAATAATAAAAAAATTGTTTAGATGAGATAATTTTATTATCAATTAAAATAAAATATTAAATGAAACTGGTTATAATAATTTAGTGGTTTTATATCCTAAAACATCTAAAATATATTAATTTTAAAAAAATATTATTATATTACAAACGCTTGAGCTTGATTTTAAATTCCTCCTCAAGTCTCGAAATACATTGGATCAGTTCATAATTCTTTAGATATCGTTTTTACTATTTTCTAATGAAAATATGACAGACATGTATATTTTTATTAGAAATTACATATGTGCAAAAGAAAATATATATATATATATATATATATATATATATATATATATATATATATATATATATATATATATATATATATATATATATATATATATATATATATATATATATATATATATATATATATATATATATATATATATATATATATATATATATATATATATATATATATATATATTATACACGGTCATATTTTTAGTAGAAAGTAATAAAATTTACACATAAATAATTATATCTAAGTCTTCTCCTTAAATTTAAGGATTAAATTAATAGTAAATTATATAATTTTATTTAATTGTTCAATTTGACTTTTTAATAGAATAACATTTTTTTTAATAAATATTTATAGTTTCATGGACGGATTTAAAAGTTTTATAGACATAATTATTAATATTATTAGTTTTATTATTTTTCATAGTTAATAATTAATCTTACCAGACAGAAAGGAATCAGCAGTCTACCACGCGTCGTGAGCTCCTATATTCACCGGTATTGGAGAAGAGGAGGGGGTGTACCTGAAAGGTACTCCGATACTAAAGTGAGAAACGGAGTAAGAGAGAGCAAGTATAGAAAGAAGGTGTATAGTTTAGAATACTTGACCCTCTAGTGAAAGAGGGTATTTATAGTGTGCCCACAACGTTGGGCTAACGGTTACATTGCATTGGGCTGGATTGTCAGGCCCAACACAAGTAACTGTTAGGGTCTATGTGGCTTAGGGAAGACTAGCATATGGTCTTCACCTTGGTCTAACTGCTCCCTGATCCTCGAAAGGTGGAAGACCGGTTCTTTAGGACACGGGTAGTTGTCTGATGACGCGTCCTCGCGTGAGGAACACGTGGAGAAGGCGCGTGAGCTCCCCCCATGCTAGGTAATGGTGTGCCCGACTGCAAATTAAGAGTACCAAGTCTGTCCGATATTATAAAGGATTGGGTCATGTTAGGCCTCCCCAACGTAGTATTGAGTTGGGTTTGCCCAACTGTGGGGCAATTACTAACCCAGTCCAGAACTGAAGCCCCCCAAGTCGCTGCTCCTAAGTGGGGGAGTAATGACTTAAGCGTCATTCCCAACGCCGAGGATGAGGGATTCGGCAAGGTGTCAAGCTTCTCTATATCGTGGGTGCTCTCGGGGAGCCGTGTTCGCTTGTTGCGACCGTGTTTGCTTGTCGCTGCTCTTCGTGTCCCCGATAGGGTACTGAGACCACGGGGTAGCCTGCGTAAGAGACGTTTGAGGGGACGAGCACATATGATTCTGGGCAGGAGAGGAATTTGAACGGGTGTGTGAGGTGTCTGGTGACATCATGTGTTAGGGCAATTAATGCATAGGACGACTAGGAGTAATGGTACTCAAGTGCCTAGGGACGCCTCGAGTCTCGTGCTAGGATTATAAATAGGGTGTGAGTCCGTTTCATTCACACATTTTCCTTCTACTGCTCAAGACTTTCCCTACTCTCTTTTTGCGCTCTCTCTCTCTCTCTCTCTCTCTTCGCTTCCGTTCGTTCGCCGTCGTCGTCGTCTCGTCACCCAAAAACCACCGTACCAAGTGAGTTTCTAACTGCTTTATTTTAGTTTCGTGCATTTTCCGACGGTGTCTACGGTGACTTGATGAAGTTCCCGGGGAAACTATGAAGTTTTCGGAGAATACGCTAGAACTTCTTTGAATTTATGACATTTCTGATGAAGGCCTTGGGGACTTGCGATGAGTGCCCCGAGGACATAAGACGAATGCCTCGAGGACCTGGGATGAAGGCCCCGAAAAAGTTAGATGAAGGCCTTGAGGACCTGATGAAGGTTCCGAGGACCTAGGATGAAAGCCCTGAGGACGTTAAATGAAGGCCCCGAGGACCTGATGAAGGTCTTGAGGACCTGTCCCAGTCCTCTCGTTGACAGGGTGAGGTAATCCTCGTCCAGGAGGCTCCTCTGAATGGGAGGGGTCTCATAGTCGAAGAGGAACTTCCTCTAGATGAGTACCCTAGTTGGGCGTTTTTGGTCGAGGAGGCCAGTCCGGTGGCTCTGTGCCCCTCTCTTTGCCCTCTCACTTGATTTGCGGTGGAAGGATGGATTTGATCTTGAATGTCGAATTCACCGTTTTCCTCTACTTTTCAAGTAAAATGGCTGCAAGGATCGAGGGGTCATTAAGATTGATGATGAGCCTAATTCCTTGGTCGTGCAGACCAGAGAGGTCCGAAAGTGGACTGCCAAAGATTGGGCCGGGCAGGAGCCCCTGAGCATCCCCTCACGCTTTGTTGTTGAGAACTCAGACGCTTACGCTACTGTCGAGAAATGTTGTGAGGGCTCCTCCCTGAACTGACAGGTTCATAAACCTCGAGAACGCCATCGCATATGCTCTTGTTTCAAGGGATGCGGTTTCCCATGTATGAATTCGCTTTCTGGGAAGCGGGCCTATGTCTGCCCTTCAGTGACTTCCAGCGGGGAGTGTTCGACTGGCTGCGCCTGGCACCTTTGCAGCTTCATCCTAACGCGATCGCATTTGTGCGAGCTTACGAGCTCGTATGTCGGTACCTCAATGTCGGGACCACTTTAACTCTCTTCTTCCGTATCTTCCACTTGTAACGACAGAAGTTCAAGAGTCGGCACAGCTGGGTGTCCTTGAAGCAGCCGGGGAAACTGTTTCGAGCGTACCTAGACTCTGTTTGTACTTTTAAAGACCGATATTTCATTGTCAAGCTCATCACCCACGTGGTCGTTGACTCGTTGTATGACCTTGTGGTCAAGGAGGAAAACGGGCAGAGGGAGGAGGTCTTGCAATCAAAGTTTCCACTGGAATGGACGGAGGAGCATTTCAAAAAGGGCACAAATAATTACATAGTTAGGCCCGACTCATTGGATGTCGAGGATCGGTTGGCCTACCAGAAGCTGTTCGAGTTTGTCTCTGACTTCACCCCTGTGAAATATGTGACTCTGGACTGTAATTTTAACCTTGACGCCCGCAGGGAGGTTCTTCTTGAGCCACAGTTGATAAACACGAAGGCCCTCCTCGAGTGTGTGTCCAACGAGGAAGCCTTACGGTTCTTAGGTAGCGGGCACCCCCCTTCACTTGAATTCCATCTATTTTTCTATCGTTAGTTCGTTGTTCGCTAACTTGCTTATTTTTTCTTTTTCAGGTGAGATGTAGAACTTGCAAGAACGCGTGAAGAAGCCAGCGGCCACCAAGGGTGGGAAGAAGGATGGCAAGGGGCGAGTCGCTCAAGTTCAGTAGATGTCAGGCCCCGACATTATACCTGGAGGCCCGTCCTTTTCTCCCTAGTGTAGCCAATCTTCAACCTCGCAGGGGACCCCTAAGAGACAATGTGTCGGCGAGCCCGAGACCGTCGACCTCACAGGGGGTGTGTCCGAGAAGAAGTTTGTGCTCCCACTCTGCTATCTACAGCCTGAATTCTTCTGTGGGGAAAACTTCCCGACTGTGAGCACTGCGGAGTCCAAGGCCATCCTGGGTGTTGACCGAAAGAGAAGGAGGAAAGCCTTATCAGAGGATATGACTGTGATGATTCGGGTCTTTGAAACGGCTTTGGTCCTCAACGACGAGACTTGCCCCTCGA